AGAAACTACATGTGTGCTACATATGCATATTGGGTACCCGTGAGAATAGGGATTCCTCAGAAGTCCATCAGAATCCCCACCCTATCTCTCTTGTGTGACTCTCACCATCATCATTATCAAATTTTGTCAAAGCAGATGTTGTTTGTTATTATTCCCTTGCTTCTTATATTGGTTATGTTTCTTATTACACGTCTAGAGCACTAATTAATGGAGCTCTATTTGATCTCCCAGAAGCAGAAGTAGAATCAGTTGCATGCTATAATGTAGAATATTGGCGGAATGTGATCCTTAATAGTTCATTGTTACTTCCAACATTTTTGTTATATATCTCAACCTCTTGATTATCCATTGTACTCTCCTCTATACTAGGCGGTGGAGAAATGAATAGAGTTGATCAAAGTGGAGTCGGCGAGGGACATCGTTCCTATTCAAAGCGGAGCATGTTACATATCCTCATTTGTGTCTCAAAGGATGCTAGAAACACAAAGAAAAACCTAGCCACGTACGAATTAGTAAAAGAAAAATGAAGCACAAAGAATTGTTGTTAGTGAAGTGCAATTTACATGGAGAATAAATATTATTAGGATACATAATTGGATGCGTACAAAGTTGTACTTTAACCGCTCAACAAAGAGGCCCCGAAAGTGAATTCACAATTTGTATGGTGAAGATATTTTTGTATTTTATATTATGTAGATAAAACCCCTATGCTGTAAAATATGTATCTGTAACTTCATATAATTTTTGTATCCAAAGGATATAGAAATAACAAGATCAGAGAGGTGAGTTAGGGTTTAGCATATTAATTATTAGCGGAATCATTACATCGATGTGGTTTTGTGATTATTTCTTCTTTATTTTCGTTTTTTTTCATCTACATGTGATTATTATTCTGCAGTGTTGCTAAGGACTATTATCAGTATGATGTTCTTTTTTGTTTCTTTGGAAAGGATTATTGTTGGAACGATTGCAATGATCCACCTTTTGTTATACATTTTTCTCTCCAAAAAGAGGCTAGGGCCAAACCTAGCCCAAGGCCAAACCTAGCCCAATTTTAAGGAGTTGGCAAACAAGCCCTAAAATAAACGATGAAGCTATTCTCACCTAAAAACTTAAATTGCTCTACTTAAGTCTTACTCTTTTTAATTCATTATCATACACATAGATAATCACAAAAGCTAACACAAAAATGCCATATATACCTTCATCAGTAAAAAAGTTTATCATGTAAAATGAAAAGATATGTTCTACTTAGATATTCCGTCCCTAGTTTTTAAAGTCATTAAATTAAAAATTAAGGTCCACATAACAACTTTTCGTATTTATTTGTTTATCTTTGATCTTCGTTCATGTACAGGTAGGACATGGGGTCATGTATGTTAAGTATATAACATTAAGGAAAGTTGTGATGTTACTGTCATTACAAAGAACATAATATATACGAGGTTTATATCTGGTCTAATAACCTAAACAATGTGGGACTAAAGTAGTCTATTTAAAAAAAATCAAATGCTAAAAGCCCAAACACTAAAATCTAAAAAACAAACATTAGAAATTTGAAAACCCAAAACCAACATTAAAAATCCAAAAACCAATTAGTCCTCTCTCTCTCTCTCTCTCTCTCTCTCTCTCTCTCTCTCTCTCTCTCTCTCTCTCTCTCTCTCTCTTAGGGGTGTGCAAATGGTCGGTTGGCTCGATTTTTACCAAATTTCGAATAACCGAACCCGTCCGCCTATAATTCAAAACCGAACTGAACCGTTGCAAGTCGCTTCGGCTTGTTCGGTTCTAACTTCATCAAACTTGTTATCAAACAACAAAATGTGTTAAAGAAAAAAAAAAGATATCTACAAAGTAGGAGATTATGAAACATTAAACACTGATATTGTTTTCAACCCATAATGATTCAGATCCTAATAGTTACAAGGAATGAACTCACATCCATCCAAACAAAACGTAAGCATTTCTCAAGCACAAATTTTGAGTTCAAAAGTTTCATTCCTATGAGCCTACTCCCCTATTTCTTACGATAACTAGACAGGGCCAAAGAAGGGAGTATGTAAAAAATTCCCCGTAAATCCTCTTCATTGCTTTTCCAGCTTTAGTCGTCATCCTCATCGTCGTCCTGCGATATACAAAAAGAAAGCTAGAAGTTAGAACTAACACGAGAGCCACTAGAACTAACAGGGGCTCAACTAGAACTAACATACCACTAGAACTAATACTTATATTAGAAATAACACTAGCTAGAAGTTAGAACTAACATGACATCAACTAGAACTAATACGAGAGCCACTAGAACTCAACTAGAACTAACAAACCACTAGAACTAACGCTTATATTAGAAATAACACTAGCTGAAAGTTAGAACTAATATGACATCAGTTAGAACTAACACGAGACCCACTAGAACTAACAGTGGGTCAACTAGAACTAACATACCACTAGAACTAATGTTTATATTAGAAATAACACTAGCTGCAAGTTAGAATTAACATGACATCAACTAGAACTAACACGAGAGCCCCTAGAACTAACATGCGCTCAACTAGAACTAACATATCACTATAACTAACTCTTATATTAGAAATAAAACTAGCTGCAAGTTAGAACTAACACGACATCATCTAGAATTAACACGAGAGCCACTAGAACTAACAGAGGCTCAACTAGAACTAACATACCACTAGAACTAACGCTTATATTAGAAATAACACTAGCTGAAAGTTAGAACTAATATGACATCAAGTAGAACTAACACGAGAGCCACTAGAACTAACATGGGCTCAACTAGAACTAACCTACAAACAAATCTGATGCACAAAAACCCTAAAAGTTCACCAAAGTACCAAATTCACCAATCAAGCGCAAGAAAGACGAGATCAATATTCACCTAACTCTAAGTCCCTAAGGTAGAAATCGAGAGAGTTGAAAGAGGGAGTTACGATGTGAGACCAT